TAATTGGATTTCTGTGAAAATAGAGGAAAATTGCTCATTGTCCAGAAATTGTCAGCAGCAAAGAGTGGCAGAATTATTGACTGGCCTCGACTTGTAGAGGTAGGAATGAGAAATGGCAATACTTATATCAGCTTCATAAGAAGACTAAGCTCTGTGGAGGGACTAATATTATGTTTCACTTTACCCTGTTTAATTCCCCTTTGTGCACTGATCCTTTTTTTTTTTTTTTTTTTTTTAACTTCATAGGAAGAAGAGAGGAAGTAAGGCATATTTAGACTGGAAAAAAACCGGGAAAAAACTGTATGTTGGTAAACCCCTCCTTCCCACCCCACTCTTATCTGTTTTATTTTAAACATCTTTCTATTCAGTCAGCGCCACTTGTCATGAAGATAATCTTGACTGCTGTTCTTTTTCCTTGTCATCACTTCCTAGCCATGCATGTGCTGAAGAGCTGCTGCCTGGAGGAGAAGTGAGTTACACCTGCCCCTGTCACAGCTGCTCCACAGTCACTGTGGCTACCAGGAGAAGAGAGGAAGAAGTAGTGAAGATACAGGCAATGATCAGAAGGTAGGGCAGAAGTTTCCACTGTACCTTGAGAGCCATCTCTAGACAGTAGAACTAACTGGCCATATATAGAAAGAGAGCATGTGGGGGGTGTGTGTGTGTGTGTGTTTGAGGTTTTTTGGGGGTAGGTGGTTTTGGTTTGGTGGTTATTGTTGTTGTTGTCCTCCAACCGATGATCCTAAGCAGTCTGACAAGCTGAGAAAGAAGGGCGGGGGGAAGTAAAAAGACCCTTTAGAATAGAAAGCCTGGCATCTTTCTTCTTGCTCTGATGAGTGAGTGGTGAAACTGGTTAATTTGTAGTAGTTTGGCAGGCTCACAAACACTAAGGTAAGAGTAGCAGCTACAGCTGCTTCACAGCTGCTGCAGCTCACACTTAGCTCTGAGTTGATCAGTTCAGATTCCTGGGAAATAAGCCTTTTATGTTGTTGCTTTCCTCATCATGTCTGGTTGCGTTTGCAGGGCGCTGTACAACAGACTTCAGTCTCCTCTTCATTGGGAATCTTTCCTGAAGTGTAAGGGTCCAAGACGTGAATGTCCAAATGTTTTAGTGCAACTCACTTTTGCTGCTCCCAGCTGGGTTCAGTGGTAGTTGCCAAATGCGGTTAGAGCTATGAAGGGGTGTTGACAGGCAGGAGATGCCACCCTGGGCTTGCTTCCAGGCTAAGGTAAGCCTGACATTGGCTGCACCTGAATGCATAGCCATGCTTTGGGGTTATAACCCAGTCCCTCAAGAACCAGCCGACAGTGGGAGCTGAGTAATTTTAATGGTTAATTGTAATGCTATTGATGCTATTGTGGCTTGAGCAGAACAAAACAGAAATAATCAGGCTTAAAACAAACAAAAAAACCCAAAAGCAACATAGTGTTATTTTGGAATAACAGCACATGTAGCTGAACTAATACTCCTGACGAGCAAGGACACGGATTTCTCTCCAGGCATCCTGCAGTCCTGTAGGGAAGAAGTGACCTTATTTGCATTTTTCTTGTTGAATTGCTGTCGGGATTTCTGCAGCACAGCAAGAGAAAATTCCTCCAGGAGAACATGGAAATATCACAGCACTAACACAATATCCTTCAACTAGGTTCTTCTCCTCAGCCATCCTTTGCCCCTTGCACTGCCAGCTGGCCAGCCACCCAGCACTAAACAACGTGTCCACTTCTTTCAGATGCAACTCTCATCCTTTTTCTTACAATATATTGTGAAAGCAGCAGGCCATGAATATGGTACATAATGCCCATGAACCAAACATTACAGATGGTTTAATTTTTCCTCTGTATTTCAAAAGCATCAAAGTTGCTCTTTCCCCTATTTCCAGAACAATCTGTGATCTTCCCTACATGCTCCTGCCCTTCCTCCCCGGCCTTCTCTAAAAGCAGAAGAAAGATCTGCCCTCGCCTTGTACTTGCACATTTGAGCGCTCCTTTCTAAGGTCAGCATTTTGAATTTGAAGTCTATGATTTCAGACAATTCTATCAGGAGCATTTTCAATTCTAATCATGTGCTCTAAATTGCTTAGA